GATTCACAGCCGCACACAGAGCACACAGACGATTACACACAGCTGATGACATCGTTCATGGGTCCTGGGTCTTTCCCACACACACGATCCAGTTTCAGATGGCCCTGGATCTGAACCTGAATCCAGGTTCAGATGACCCTGGAGACAAACTTCCAGGTCCAAGCCCTAAAATCATATCTCTGTGTATGTGAACTTGAATGTGCACTTATGACCACATGTAACCACATACAGCTCCAGTCACAGACAGAAGCACTCATAGGCTGACATGAATTTTGTACAAACAGAAAAGCTGTAGTCTCTTTCTCTCTCTCTCTCTCTCTCTCTCACACACACACACACACACACACACACACACAACAGCATTTCAGCAAATGGCTGCACACAGCCGTGTACACACACAGCTAGTCACAAATCAAGTCAGAAAAGAAACATACAGGGAAAGCATATACCAGCACACCAACACAAAGCACAGGAATGCAGAGTACGCTTACTATCGTTGCAAAGAAAAAATCCAGAAACTACATGGAAAGCTACACAAGGAAGAAACAGGAGAACCAGATAGTACTCATACCACCGCACCAGAAGAAACACCCCGAGGGCACACATACCTGCAGCCACTCATTAAGGAGAGACACAAATACAGCAGCAGACACACAAAGAAAGACACGTGCGCACAGATACACACATAGGAGGGACAAGTACTCTGATGACACACTCGTCACCCATGACTATTACAAAGGAGACAAACACCCAAGCAACACACGCACACAACAACATATAGATAAACTGTGCGGACAGACAGTACCAATGCACACGGTTGCCAAAAAAAAAAAAAAAAAAAAGCATGAGTTGGGCCGGGCGCAGTGGCTCATGACTGTAATCCCAGCACTTTGGGAGGCCAAGGCAGGTGAATCACGAGGTCAGGAGTTCGAGATCAGCCTGGCCAACGTGGCGAAACACCGTCTCTACTAAAAATACAAAAAGAAATTAGCTGGGCGTGGTGGCGGGCGCCTGTAATCCCAGCTACTCGGGAGGCTGAGGCAAGAGAATTGCTTGAACCTGGAAGTCGGAGGTTGCAGTGAGCTGAGATCTCGCCACTGCACTCCGGCCCAGGTGACAGAGTGAGACTCCATCTCAAAAAAAAAAAAAAAAAAAAAAAGCACAAGTTGGGCAGGCGACTGTAGACAGAACACAGCACCAGACAAGTTACATAGGAAGACGCAGGCACAGCTCACATATATGTGGCTGTGGCTGAGAACAGGCAGGTGAGATACACTTAGCATATTCACACACACGCGTGCACACACACATACACACACTTCTGCCCAGCCTCCTCCAGCCTCCGTCTCCTTTCCTATCTACTCTGATTTCTCTCTCCCCTCATACCCCTCCCCCACCCAGAGCCATTACACATCTGTGCTACCGGCTGGCCAGGGAAAGAGACACCTGTCACCAGAGGCTGTGACCCAGGTGGCTAAAGGTGGGGGGCGGGGATGCAGGTATCCATATTTCAAGTCTGAAGTGTCCCGTCCAAATAACTAGCATACCTTATTTGGATTTAAAAAATAAAAGACAACCCCCCTCCCCTCTGCATCCATTTGCCACCTCCCTGCCACAGCCTCCTGCTCTGATTGCTCCCCTTCCCTCCCAGGGCCTGCCCCCACTGGCCTTCCAACATGGACCAACACAGGGCTACCAGGCACACAGCAGGTGCTCAACAAAGGCCACTTATCTAATGTCGTATTAGTATCATTACTTTTATTTCTGCCAAAGGAACTCTTCTAGGGGAGAGATGAGCCTCCAGCCAGCTCTAAGAACCCCACAGCTCCCGTAAGTTTCAGGGCACTGCAGATAGCAGGTGCTCAACATAAGCCGGTATGGCAGTGGGAAAACAAAGGGAAAGTGTGATCTGGCTGCGTAGAGGAACCTGCTTTAGAAGGAACAGATGTCTTTAAGCAGGACCCAGGCCTTGAGGCTGTGCCAGGGATAAGAAAACTTTATTAGTTCATCAAAGTAGGGCTCCTTCTCAGGGTCATTTAAGGTTTGTGTTGGTTCAGTAAAGCAGACCCTTGTGTGACACATGGGAGTCCCGTGAAATCTGTTAAAAGTCACTTTGGGTTATCGTCAGTTCTAAGGAGACCTTTGATTAAAACAGCTCACTGCCCGGTAGCATCCAGGGGAGGGAGGGACACGGTGAAGCAGTTAACAGCAAAAGCTTTCTCAGCTCTGCCACTTATTAGCTGTGTGGCTAAACAAGCAAATTCCTAAACCTCACTGAGTCTCAGCTTCCTCAAGGGCCTAATAACGCCTAACTCATTGGGCTATTGAGACAATTAATTAACACAGGCAAAGCACTTAAGACAATGCTTTACACATAGTAATTGCTCAATACATATTTGTGGGAGGAATTAATGATTTCTTCTCTGTGAAAGCAAAGTCCCACTTGCTCGGCTGCATATGGGATTCCGATCTGTCCTTTCATGCAGGCTCCCCACGGAGTAACTCTTTCCAGTCACTTCCTTTCCTCAAAGCAGCCCCATGGGCAGCAAAGTCCTAGTCCCCTGCCCCTGGGCCACCCCCCTTGTTCCCTTACACTGCTAAGATGCCCCCTCCGGGAAAGAGCTGGCCTGGCAGCTCCCCCTTCCTTGACCCCTCCAGGAGGCCAAGGGAAGGACACCTTTACACTCAGTGGGGTGCCGGGTGGGAGCTGCAGGCCGACACCCTACTTCGGGAAGAGCCTGGAGAGTTCAGAGCCTGGCTCCTGTCCCCCAAACCCCCGGCCCTGCTGGAGGAAGCAAGTTTCTTTGCTAAAAGTTAAACATCCTCTTCGTAAGCGCAAGAAAACAGGACGTGGGAAGCGTCCCACAGGGTGAACATGGGCCCCCAATGCCTGGCACCCCCTCCTCTCTTGTGGAGCGGAGGCCTGGTGGCTCGAACCCTTCCTTTCTCACACTCGCTCACCTCTGCAGGGGAGTCATGTTCCCACAGTCTCACAATGCCCTTGAGTTCTGCTGACAAAGCTCTGGCTTCTTCCCTGGTTGTCAGAGTCTCTATGCCTCCATCCAGGGTTCCACAGAAATGCAGGACACACCACTGGGGAAAAAATGAAGGAATGAAGCAACAAAAGGATGAATTCAAACAACATTTATTGAACATCAACTGTGCGCCACCCCGTTCCAGGCACTGGGAGGCAGCAGTGAACATGACAGAACAGGAATCCCTGCCTGGTGAAGTTCGTGTGCTAAGGAATCAATCATTCCGTTCTTTTTTTTTTTTTTTTTTTTTTCTTGAGACAGGGTCTCTCACTCTGTTGCCCAGGCTGGAGTGCAGTGGCACAATCAGCTCACTGTAACCTCAAATTCCTGTGCTCAAGCGATCCTCCTGCCTCAGCCTCTCGAGTAACTGGGACTATGGATGAACACCACCATGCCCAGCTAATTTTTAAATTATTTCTTGTAGAGATGAGGTCTCACTATGTTGCCCAGGCTGGTCATGAACGCCTGGCCTCAAGCAATCCTCCCACCTTGGCCTCCTAAAGTGCTAGGAGTACAGGCGTGAGTCACAGCATCCAGCCTTTTTTTTTTTTTTTTTTTTTTTTTTTTTTTGAGACAGGGTCTTACTCTGTCGCCCAAGCTGGAGTGGGGTTCAAGCGATCCTCCCACCTTGGCCTCCTGTGTAGCTGGGACTAGAGGTACACGTCACCACGCCTAGCTAATTTTTGTATTTTTAGTAGCATGGTTGCACTATGTTGGCCAGGCTGGTCTCCAACTCCTGACCTCAAGTGATCCACCCGCCTCGCCCTCCCAAAGTTCTGGGATTACAGGCATGAGCCACTGCGTCCAGCCCTTTTATTTTTTAAAGAGACATGGGTTCTTGCTATGTTGCCCAGACTAGATTCAAACCCCCGGGGCTCCAGGGATCCTCCCACCTCAGCCTCTGGAGTAGCTGGGACTAAAGGCGCATGCTGCTGCCCCTGGCTAATACTCATATGCATGTTGTCAGGATTAAAATGAACGAACAAAGGGAAGGACATGTTGGAGCCAACTTGTACAGGTTGGGAGGAACTGTTCAATTTTCAAGAATTTTGCAAACTGGTTGTTAAACAGCTGGTTTAGCCGGGCACAGTGGCTCACGCCTGTAATCCCAGCACTTTGGGAGGCCGAGGCAGGTGGATCACCTGAGGTCGGGAGTTCAAGACCAGCCTGACCAACATGGAGAAACCCCATCTCTACTAAAAATGCAAAATTAGCCGGGGTGGTGGCACATGTCTGTAATCCCAGCTACTAGGGAGGCTGAGGCAGGAGAATCGCTTGAACCCGGGAGGCGGAGGTTGCGGTGAGCCAAGATTGCGCCATTGCACTCCAGCCTGGGCAAAAAGAGCGAAACTCTGTCTCAAAATAAAATAAAATAAAATAATAAACAGCTGGTTTAGCAACTGGTTTTGTTTGTTTGTTGAGACAGGGTCTCACTCTGTCACCCACACTGGAGTGCAGTGGCACAATCAAGGCTCACTGCAGCCTTGACCTCCCAGGCCCATGCAATCCTCCCACCTCAGCCTCCCGAGTAACTGGAACTACTCGCGCGCACCACCACCCCTGGCTATTTTTATTTTTTGTAGAGACGAGGATGTCATCATATTGCCCAGGCTGGTCTTGAACTCCTGGACTCGAGCGACCTTTCCACCTCAGCCTCCTAAAGCTAAACAGCCATGGTTAAAAATGAAATTATATAAACGTACTCAAAACTGGTAACTTCCTAATTTTACCACATTCCACTATTCTATATGCTCTTGAGGTCATTTACCCCCATTTTATCTGTATGGTAAAAATAATACATGATAGTGCGCTACTGCACCTCTTTTGAACTCCCTGTTCAGTGACCACAGGTCGGTACCTTGAAATCTAACAAGAAGATTGTACCTAAGCCATGGAAATTGGCAAATGCTAGCAACCAGCCTCCCTTCCCCCCGCCCCTCCCGCCACCACCCCCGCCCCAGCCAGTGGTTAACCATTTACCAGCACACCACTGAGGGCATTTAGAACCTAGCACATGGTAAACACTATGATAAACGTTCTCATTATTTTCCCGTTTGTCCACTGGGTCAGGATGTATAGTCTTTTTTTGTGTCTGGGTTGGAATTTAAAATGTTTGAAGATCACAGAATTACAAAAGGCCAGAGGGTGGCTAAGCTACACCTATTTAACTCTCCCAATAATGCTGTTAAGTCTGTACTATTGATTATCCCCACTTTCCAGACAGGGAAACTGAAGTTCTGAGGCGGTAAAACTCAGGCAGCGCCTCCATTATCTGTAGTGCGATCTGAAATTGCAGCCGAGCAGCCTCCGCGCGCTCGCTCACTTCAAGAACGCATTTCTCCTATCACGTTTATGCCCCCAGCGGTAATTTCGCTGCCCTGCACGCGAAAAATGAATGGGTGGCATCGTGCGCGTGGCATCTTGGGAAATGTAGTTTACAGGCTCAATGACAAGCATGGTCCAAGAAGGGAGGGGCGGGGGAGCAATTCGATCTTGGCCTCGGAATAAAAAGAACAAAGAATCGCCGGCAGTTTGCGCGTCGCGACGCTTCAGCCACGCAGTGCGTGGATTCAGCCACTTTGGCCGTGCCGCTTGCATGCCGGGAAACGCAGTTCGCGAGCCCCGGATACGTCGACAATAGATGACGGGACTCACGTTGTACGTTCACATCAGGTCCCGGCACGCCGGAGCCTGGGCGGTCCACGATGGTGAGTTTGCCACGCTGCGACAGCTCATAGGCTTGTCCCCCGGGCATTCTGGTGAACTACGAACGCAAACTGAAGCTCTACGACTTGTCGCCCGTTTGCGCTCTCGCCGAGGCACAGGCTGCTCGCGGACCACCCTGCTCCGAAAACTAAGGTGGGCCCTGGGGCGCGGAGGACAGGGATGCGGGCGGAGACTGTTGAGGAACTGTCCTGACTGCGGGGAAAGGAGGAGGTTCGCCCTGGGCGCCGCAGCTGTGTATGGTTCGGGCGGCTGGCACCGGGTGGGTTCTAGACCCAAGGTTTGTCTGCAGAAGGGGACCCGTAGACGGGGTGGGTTCGAGGTGGGGACATGGGACGCAGCGGTCAGAGCCACCTGGGACCCGGTGGCCCCGATGGAGCTATGATCTTTGAGGTATTGATGAGGAGAGACAGGGAGTGTGGTCAGAAGGCTGTTTAATGGGAGGTTGGTTGGAGCGCGAGGGTGGGGTGTTACTGGGGAATCAATGGGGGCTAATAAGAATATTTTAGTCTAAGTGTTGTTCATTGATTGATTAATGAGGGGATGGCAGAGTAAGCAACTATAATATAAGGAGTGGTGGATAGGAACGTGATCCCCCAGGGATTGATGGAGGTATGATATTCAACGGGTTAATGGAAAGTGATGGGACATAGTAATGGCAAGGATGATGGTGAGGCTGTGGGGGGAATAATAGATGAATGGGGGTCATGATCAAGGGGCTGTGGTGAAAGAAGAGATAATGAGAGGCTGATGGTGTTGTAGTCAGAGTCAATAGTTGGGCTGTGGTGGCATGACCATCAAGGAATTAGGGGACAGAGTGAGCAAAGAGAGGGTATAGTAAACTAGGGTTGGGGGGTTAACTTTTGTTGATACATAGTAGGTGAATAGTAAACTGTTAGAGTGTGATCATCCAGTGATGGATCCACGGAGAGCGGGGTGGACAGTGAGGGGAGAATGGGGAACTGATGTGTGAACATCAGGGAGTAACGTGTTTGTTAATGAAAGGGTTACAGGGCAGGGGCCTAGTGCTGTGATCTATAAAGGGTCTATTGGAGAAAACTGAGTTAATGGGGGCTGATAAATCAGTAATTGAATGCTCAATGGGGAGCTAATAGACCATGATTCTCCAGGCATTATTAGAGGTTCATAAGGATGTAGTAATAAAGTGGGCCTAATCGTCTAAGGGATTAATGGGGAATGGGGTGAAATGAGAGAGATATAGGGAGTGGGAGGTACAATGAAGTAGTATTAGGATAAAGGTGGAAAGCAAGGGATTAATGGGGGCTGATAGGACTATATGAATCTAGGGGCAATGGGGACAACTGGGGATATAGTCAGTGAGATTTTAATGGGCATGACGTGGGCACAGAAGGGTTGATAGTGACAGTTACAGGGTTTAATGTGTGGAGTGTGGGTGACAGTGATGGGAGGTGGACAGGCTCACAAGTTGGCCATCTATGGGATTAATGTTGGGTTTATGGGGTCTTTTGTAGGAACTGGGGGGTAAGTGATGGGGACGAGGAGGGTCTGTGTGATAAGCAATGGAGCCTGAGAGTTCAGTGATAGGGTCCTTTGGACCCTATAAGGTCAGTGGGGTCAGTTCCAGGGCTTCAGTCAGCCCATCTTCTGTGTGAGCTATCATGTGAGTCAGATGAGCCCAGTTTAGTTTGTGTGGTTCTCTCCGCCCTACAGAGGTAGGTGGTAGCCCACTCATCTGGTTACTGATACTGGCCAGCATCAGCTGACTGTCGGCAGGTCCTTGGGCAACTGGTGTGTGAAATGGGACGGACGTCGAAGGACAAGCGGGATGTCTACTACCGCCTGGCTAAGGAGAATGGCTGGCGTGCTCGCAGCGCCTTCAAACTGCTACAGCTGGATAAGGAATTCCAACTCTTCCAAGGTCCCTGACTGGTGGGCAGGTCACTGGGCGGTGAGGTGGGCACAGGAGGTAGACAAGTAAGCTAGGTCTGCAGAGCTCCCTATGGTAGGTGGGCTGACTCAGAGGGTCTCTGGGACAGGGAGACAGGCAGGAAGATAGGCAGAATACTGGAGAGGAGTTGGGCACCTGGGCAGTGGAGATATGTGGGTGCTCCCCAGGGGAGAGGGGTGAACTTTGCAAGGGTCTCCAGGTTGGAGAAGTGGGTGCAGCTGACCAGGATGCTTTCACTATGTATGCCCAGGCGTGACACGGGCAGTTGACCTGTGTGCAGCCCCGGGCAGCTGGAGCCAGGTGCTGAGCCAGAAGATTGGGTAAGTGTGGGGGTCCCAGATGGGAGACCCAGGAGGGCTGCCTGGATGGGAGGGGCCCAGGAGTGAAACTAGGCTGATGTGGGCCATGTTGTCCACAGGGGCCAAGGGTCCGGCCACGTGGTGGCTGTGGACCTGCAGGCTATGGCTCCACTACCAGGTGTGGTACAGATCCAGGGGGACATCACCCAGGTAAGAGCATGGCTGAGGGTATTGGGGTATATCCTGGGTGAAGGCCCTTACCTGGGGTCTATGCAGAATGGAAGAGCAACAGAGAGGTGATGGAAACAGAGAGAGAGAAAGAGAATGAGAGAGTAACCATGGAGAAACAGCCAACGGGTCATCATTGCAGACACAGCAGAAAATGATGATGCTGGGTCCCCAGAGATGGAGTCCAGTATTAGAGAGGCAAAGCCTGGGAATTTGGCTGACCCAGGGTCTGTGGGCCAGGACCATGGGCAGGCGGGATCTGAGGGCAGCAGTGGAGGGCCGTGGGGCCACTCATCCTCCCTCTCTCCATAGCTGTCCACTGCCAAGGAGATCATCCAGCACTTTAAGGGCTGCCCTGCGGACCTAGTGGTGTGTGACGGGGCTCCTGATGGTAAATAGCAACAGAAAGTGGGAGGCCAGGCGGAGGCCCCTGTGCGCGTCCTTCTCTGTATCTCCTACCTTGGTTGACTTACTCACCTCTTCAGTTACTCCCTGCCTCTCCCTTCTGTTCTCAGCTTTCTCCCACATCTGGCAACTTTTCCCTACCTCTGCTGCCTGCTCTCTCTCTGCCTCTCTCTTCCTCCCACTTGCACCCCACCCTTTGAGTTTCATGTCTGTTGTCTACCTTTCCCTGCTCTCATCTCTCTGCAATTGTCCAATTCCATTGCACTGTTCATTCGTTTTCAGCCAGTCAGCCATTCAACACACATTTACTGAGCACCTATTGTGTTGAGAAAACATTCATGAATAAAATTCCATTAATCTTTAACCTCATGGAGCTGATGTTCTAGTGGGAGCAAATGGGAAAGAAAATAAATGATTGAGCTTTGTATCGTTAAAAGGGGATGCAGCCAGGCATGGTGGCTTCTACCCGTAATCCCAGTGCTTTAGGAGGATGAGGTGAGAGGAACACTTGAGGCAGGAGTTTGAGACCAGCCTTGCAACATAGCAAGACCCTGTCTAAAAAATTAGCTGGGCTTGGTGGCGCATATGCCCATAGTCCCAGTTACTCAGGAGGCTGAGGTGGGAGGATCACTTGAGCCCAAGAGGTCGAGGTTACAGTACACTTTGATTGCACCACTGCACTCCAGCCTGGGCAACAGAGTGAGACCTTGTCTCTAAAAAATGGGGTGGGGAGGCCAGGCATAGTGGCTCACGCCTGTAATCCCAGCACTTTTGGAGGCCGAGGCGGGCAGATCACCTGAGGTCAGGAGTTCGAGACCAGCCTGACCAATATGATGAAACCCCGTCTCTACTAAAAATACAAAAATTAGCCAGGTGTGGTGGCATGTGCCTGTAATCCCAGCTACTTGGGAGACTAAGACAGGAGAATCGCTTGAACCCAGGAGGCAGAGGTTGCAGTGAGCCGAGATCGCGTCATTGCACTCCAGCCTGGGCAACAACAGCGAAACTCTGTCTCAAAAAAAAAAAAAGGTGGGGCGGGGGATAGGTACCATAGGGAAATCATTGAGCAGGAGGAAAGCAGGAGTACCTGTTGGAATTTTAAATGAAGTGGATGGGGAAGGCCTCACTGACTTAACAGTAGAGACTAAAGGAGGTGGGGGAGTAAGCTATGGATATGTCTGAAGGAAGAGCAATCCAGGAAAAATTCCAGCCTATGCAAAGTTCCTGAGGCAGGGGGGTACTTGCTATGTATGAGTGATGACAAGGAGATCACTGTGGTTGGAACAGAGTGAGGGGGAGAGTGGTAAAAGGTAACATCAGAGAGGTGACAGGGGACAGGTCCTATAGGGCCTCGTGGGCCATGGTGAGGATGTTGGCATTTTCACCGAGATGAGAGCTTGAAGAAAACCATGAGAGGGTTTTGAGGAGAAGAGGACTGTGCTGGGCTTGGGCTGCTATGAGCTGTGTGAGGCCCAAGGGCAGAAGCAGGGGCTCCAGGGTAGAGTAGTCCAGGCAAGTGATAACGGGTGGGGGCAGTGGTGGAGAGAAGAAGATCAAGTCAGATCTTTTGAAAGTAGATGTGTTAATGACTTCAATGTGGGTGTGAGGAGAGGATGCAGGGGGAGCATCAGAGGTGACTAAGGTTTTGGAGCTGAGCAACTAGAAAGCTCAGATGAGATGGTGGGGATGGTGGGAGGAGCAGGTTTGGGAGGTAGGTCAGGAGTTTGGAGGTCAGGAGTATTGGAGATGTGGAATCTGATTTGTGAATCTGGAGTTCAGAGGAGCAGTCTGGGCTGGAGGTGGAAATGATAATGATGCTTATACATGAGGTCATTTTAGAATTGAAATGAGTTCCTAAGGGTTAGGAGCTCAGAATATGCATCTAGTTGGCAGATAGTAATTTGCATCCAGAACCTTAGCAGTAAGAGAGCCTGGAAAATGTTTTTAGTGTCTGATCTGTGTGGTACAAGAAGATGCACAGAGCAGGATAGGCCCCCCTAACGCTGTTCCTCTTGCCACAGTAACCGGCCTCCATGATGTTGATGAGTATATGCAGGCCCAGCTTCTCCTAGCTGTGAGTAACCCTGGCCACCCCTGACCCACTTTGGCCCCCTCCTGGCTGTCTCCACCTCAGCCTCAGCCGTCTGTCCTGCCCACAGGCTCTGAACATTGCTACACATGTCCTGAAGCCAGGGGGCTGCTTTGTGGCCAAGGTAAGTCTCAAGGAACCTGGTGGAGTAGAGAAAGATCGCTGAGGGCCAACCTCACCCGCTGTCTTTGCCTTCCCACCCTACAGATATTCCGAGGCCGGGATGTGACGCTCCTCTACAGCCAGCTGCGAGTCTTCTTCTCCAGCGTGCTGTGTGCCAAGCCCAGGAGCAGCCGGAACTCCAGCATCGGTCAGTGGGGTGGAGGGGCCAGGCAGGCAGACCGGGATTTCTGGGACTCCGCCTGCACAAGGAGGAAGCGGCAGTCACACCTCATTCCACCTTCCCCCAACAGAGGCCTTCGCTGTCTGTCAGGGCTATGACCCTCCCGAGGGCTTCATCCCGGACCTGAGCAAACCCCTGCTGGACCATTCTTACGGTGAGAGCTGGAGCGTGGGTCACCCTGGGGGACTCTGCCACACCTTATGCAATCTAGGTCCCATGAGGGCCCACAGCCTCACCCCCTGGTGGAGGCTCTGTCCCCTCATGGGAATTTTTTTCCCAAGGGGATCCTCAGCCCCATTTTCTGGTGGAAATCCCATCCCTTTATGGGTATTTTGTCCCAGGAGGAGCTTCAGCCCAGGCAGTCCTGTAGTGGTAACTCTTGGGCCTGGTGAAAATTCCATCCCAGGAGGATCCTGCGCCCTGCCCCAGTGGAGGCTCCACCTGCCTGAGGACATTCTCTCCTAGGAAGATCCAGTCACGCCCCCAGGTGGAAGCCTCCTTGGTGTGAAACTTTTGCCCCTTAAGCCTCTAGCAGGAAGAGACAGAGCCTGCCCCTGGGATGACATTTGAGTGAGGGAGACGTCATCCAGGCAGCATATAATCCAATGTCAGGTGGATATATATGCAGGAAAAAGAGCAGGGCACCAAAGTCTTAGAAGGCGTGATTATGGGGGGCCTCCCCAAGGAGGTGATCTGAACCAAATGAAGGATTTCTGGTGGGGTGGGAAGAGAGTAGCTGGTGGATCTGAGGGGAGGGCTTAGCAACCGTACTGCCGCCTGTGTCATGACTGGCCCCAGGCATCCAGACCTTGTCCTCAGTTATCTCCCCCTGTTCCTAAGACCCAGATTTCAACCAGCTGGATGGTCCCACCCGCATCATTGTACCTTTTGTGACTTGTGGGGACCTGAGCTCCTATGATTCGGACCGCAGTTACCCACTGGACGTGAGTGCCCAACCAACACTAGGTGGGTGGGAGCAAGGCTGTCCTAGATTCCCAGGTCCTCACCATCTCCCTACCCCTCTGTCTCTGCAGCTAGAGGGCGGCTCAAAGTACAAGTACACTCCACCCACACAGCCCCCCATCTCGCCACCATACCAGGAGGCCTGCACGTTGAAGAAGAAGGGGCAGCTGGCCAAGGAGATCCGCCCCCAGGACTGCCCCATCAGCAGAGTAGACACGCTTCCCCAGCCCCTGGTCGCCCCTCAGCGCCACAGCCTGCTGGCCCCTGAGGTCTGGAAATGTGACTCTCAACCCGCATTGACCCCTTCCCTGTGTGCCTCTTTCTGACCCAAATCTCATGGTTTCTGGGGCCAAAATTCCCTTTCCTGCCTCCTAATAGCTATAAAAAAATTGGTGAAACCAAGCATAATGAATGGAAAAATTTCACCAAATATGTGAGTCACTTTTCTTTTTCTTGAGTAGATGGAAGACAATGAAATGAGTTGTTCACCTTAACCCATTATGGTAAGTTTGCCTTGTTATCTAAAGGTTTGAGTAAGGGCAACCTTTATGAAAAACCTCAGTAAAATTTCACCTTTGAAATTTTTATGTCAACTGATAAGATTTTAATCAACAAACCCTTTTCTAAACATCTATTGTTGTATGACAGGAACTGCTTTAAGCATTTTACATTTGAAGCATTCAGTAAACATTTATTGAGCACATACTGTGTGCCAGGCATTGTTCTAGGTTTGGAGATAGAGCGGGGAGCAAAACAGAAATATCTTGGCTCTCACAGTACTTCCAGTTTGGAAAAGAGGCAACAATCAATAAAACAGTCTATAAGTTCTAGAGTTTACATACACACATATACTATATAGCTTGCATTTTTCAATTTACATATCTTGCAATATATATAATAAGTAAGAGTAATATGGGATATGAAAAATAGAAAAAAGTAAAGCAGGGTGAAGAGAATCAGGAATTCTAGGCATGGCAGTTTTCATCTTTTGGTGTTTTTGTTTTGAGACAAGGTCTCACTCTGTCGCCCAGGCTGGAGTTCAGTGGTACAATCTCCCGGGCTCAAAAAATCCTCCCACCTCAGCCTCCTGAGTAGCTGGGACTACAGGCGTGCACCACCATGCCCGGCAAATTTTTGTATTTTTAGGGGAGATGGAGTTTCGCCATGTTGCCCAGACTGGTCTCGATCTACTGGGCTCAAGCAATCTGCCATTCTCGGCCTCCCAAAGTACCAGGATTACAGGCATGAGCCACTGTGCCCAGCCAGTTTGCACTTTTTAAAAGGGTTGTCATAGAAGGCCTCAGACATTCCTCAGAGGTAATATCTGAGCAAAGACTTAAAGGCATTGCTGGAGGGAAGCTGTGTGTTTATCTGAGGGAAGAGCATTCCGGGTAAAGGAAATAGCCAAGTCCCAAAGGTGGAACTGCACGTGGTATGGGAGGAAAGTTTATCCATAGCCAAATGTGCTAAAACCACAATGTTAGAGGATGGCCCTTTCTGACAATGGCATAGCAGGTTATTCAGACTAAGTCAGCCATCACAAAAAGTCACCGTTTTTTTTTAAGCGGAGCCTTGCTCTGTTACCCAGGCTGGAGTGCGGTGGCGTAAGCTCACTGCAACCTCCATCTACCGGGTTCAAGCGATTCTCCTGCCTCAGCCTCCCGAGTAGCTGGGATTACAGGTGCCCGCCACCATGCATGGCTAATTTTTGTATTTTTAGTAGAGACGGGGTTTCGCCATGTTGGCCAGACTGGTCTCAAACTCCTGACCTCGGGTGATCCACCCGCCTTGGCCTCCCAAAGTGCTGGGATTAGAGGCATGAGCCACCGCACCCTGCCTTTTTTGTTTTGTTTTGAGATGGAATCTCGCTCTGTCGCCCAGGCTGGATGGAGTACAGTGGCCCTATCTCAGCTCACTCCAACCTCCACCTCCCGGGTTCAAGAGATTCTCCTGCCTCAGCCTCCTGAGTAGCTGGGATTACAGACGCATGCTGCCCCCTCACCCAGCTAATTTTTGTATTTTTAGTAGAGACAGGGTTTCGCCATGTTGGCCATGCTGGTCTCGAACTCCTGACCTCACAAAATCTGCCTACCTCAGGCCTCCCAAAGTGCTAGGATTACAGGCGTGAGCCACCACACCCGGCCACAAGAAGCCACCTTAAGGGAAACTGAAACAGCAAATCATTGTGTGAAAGAGATTTACAATTTCTAATATTTAAAGGATCCTGTAAATCAATAAGGAAAAAAATGAGAGTGACCGGTAAGCACATGAAAAGCTGCTCATCAGGAAAATGCAAATGAAAACTCAAAATATCAACAACACTAAGTATTTGGAAGGATATGCAGCAATTGAAAGCCTCATACACGCTACTGGGAAGGTAAAATGGTGCAGCCACTGTGGAAAACTTAGGCATTACCTACTAAAGCTGCATGTGTGCCAGTTCCAGTCCTAAAAAGTGAGTCCTAGAGGCCGGGCGTGATGGCTCAACACCTGTAATCCCAGCACTTTGGGAGGCTGAGGTGGGTGGATCGCCTGAGGTCAGGAGTTCAAGACCAGCCTGACCAACATGGCAAAACCGCATCTCTACTAAAAATACAAAAATTAGCCAGGCCTGGTGGCGGGCGCCTGTAATCTCAGCTACTCAGGAGGCTGAGGCAGGAATCACTTGAACCTGGGAGGTGGAGGTTGCAGTGAGCTGAGAACGTGCCACTGCACTCCAGCCTGGGCGACAGAGTGAGACTCCGTCTGAATAAAAAAAAAAGGAAATGAGTCCTAGAGTGTTGTTAGCAGCACTATCTGTAGTATGCCCATTAAATCGTGGTACATTCACTATAGAGAACTGTACAACAATGACAGTGAACATCCTGCAATTACACCAAAGAGCACCTTGTAGTTATTCATTAAACTGAATATATATGCATTTTCTGTATGTCATGGTTCACCATAAAAGTAGGAGGAAATGTCACAAAAATGTTAGCAGCAGAGTTAGCTGGGTGTGGTAGCACATGCCCCATCTGTAATCCCAGCTACTTGGGAGGCTGAGACGGGAGGATCACTTGAGCTTGGGAGGTTAAGGTTGTTGTAAGCTATGATGGAGCTCCACTGCACTCCAGCCTGGGTGACAGAGCAAGACCCTGTCTCTAAAAAAACAAAACAAACAAAAAACTTTCTTTGACTTTTGGTTAGCTGGCAAGCTGATACAACTCAGAAACTGCTCAGTGTCAGGAAAACCAGAACTTGTTGATGAACTTGTTTTCAAAATATCATCTCATCAACGAGGCCTGGACAAACAAGCCCTGAGGAGGGATCTGCAACAACCCTGAAGACAACAAGGAAAGAAAGCATAGAAGTCTCTCCGCACTGCAGTGGGAATTCTTGAGTGAGGTCTTACCTCTTCTTTAAACCTCTTCAGGAGTGTCCTGATTATATCCAGAAATTTCCCTAAAGGCAGGGATTCTTAACCTGGATAGAAGCCAGGGGTAACCATAAACTTGATGGAAGAAAATGTTACATCTTTATTTTCAGCAATAAAACAACGTTAGCCTTACTCCCAAGTTATAAATGCTGGCAACAAATCACAATAGTAAAAGCAGTACCTGGGATTTTCCCACCAATGCAAACCAGTTACAACAACTGTAATGTAGCATAAAAAGGGCATCTTGAAGTATTGTTCATATTTGTCACCTCTTGGAATGACAGCAGATCCTATAAGTTGATGTATTAATTAAAAAGCCCATATATGACTGCAGCTCAATTTTGTTTCAATTTAATATATAGTAATAATTGTAATTCAATGTAATTGGCTCCCATTGTCATCTGTGTGTGTGTGTATGTGTGTGTATATACTTTTAAAAATATTCTGCGAAGGGGTTCACAGATTTAACCAGATGCCAAAGGGTTCCGCAGAACAAATTTATTTATTTATTTTGAGACAGAATTTTGCTCTGTCGCCCAGGCTGGAGTGCAATGGCGTGATCTTGGCTCACCGCAACCTCCACCTCCTGGGTTCAAGCGATTCTCCTGCTTCAGCCTCCTGAGTAGCTGGGATTACAGGCATGTACCACCACACCCAGCTAATTTTTTTATATTTTTAGTAGAGATGGGGTTTTGCCATGTTGGCCAGGCTGGTCTTGAACTCCTTGCCTCAAGTGATCCGCCCACCTCGGCCTGTTTTTTTTTTTTTTTTTGAGACGGAGTCTTGCTCTTGTCGCCAAGGCTGGAGTGCAGTGGTGCGACCTCGGCTCACTGCAACCTCTGCCTCCCAGGTTCAAGCGATTCTCCTGCCTCAGCCTCCCAAGTAACTGGGATTACAGGCGCCCACCACCATGCCCAGATAATTTTTGTATTTTTAGTAGAGACGGGGTTTCACCATGTTATCCAGGCTGGTCTTGAACTCCTGACCTCAGGTGATCCGCCCGCCTCGGCCTCCCAAAGTGCTGGGATTACATGCGTGAACCACTGCGCCTGGCCTCCAGAACAAATTTTTTAGGTTAAGAACCTGTCTTAAAGAAACATCAGGGCCAGGCACGGTGGCTCATGCCTGTAATCCCAGCACTTTGGGAGGCTGAGGCGGGTAGATCACTTGAGGTCAGGAGTTCGAGACCAGTCTGGCCAACATAGTGAAACCCCGTCTCTACCAAAAATACAAAAATCAGCTGGGTGTAGTGGTGCATGCCTGTAATCCCAGCTACTCGGGAGACTGAGGCAGGAGAATCACCTAAACCCGGGAAATGAAGGTTACAGTAAGCCAAGGTCGTGCCACTGCACTCCAGCCTGGACAACAGAGTGAGATTCTGTCTCAAAAAAAAAAGCAACGTCAGAAAGTCTACCTGGACTGCAGTCCTCAATTTCTATAACTTAATGAACAGGAGCTGACAAAAACTCCCCAACCAGACAAACAGAACTGTTTTCTACAGCTTAATCCTGTGTCCTTAGAAACTCACGTACTCTGTGATCCAAGGACTATCCACGCCGCGGTCCAGTGACCTCAGGAGTATCCACATACCAGTCTGCGACCCCAGCTGTTTCCACACCTGACTGTGACTCACCCCAGTTACTGTGTGTGACCCCAGGAGTATACACACTCAAGTCTGGGACAAACATCGTCCAATCTGCAGTCAGAAATGGTGTTCCAACTCTGGAGCGTGTGTTCATAGGCATGCCTACACTCTAGTCTCTGACCACGAGAATAACCACACCCCAGTCCGTGTGACTTCAGGAATGTCCAGACCCCAGTTTGTGTCAGTCTAGGAATGTCCACACCATGGTGACTTAACCCAGGAGTCTTCTCACCAAAGTCAGTGTGACCCCAGGAATGTCCACACCCCAATCGATGAATATGCACGGCCCAACAATGTATGGCGGAAGTGTCCACACAAAAGGCCATGTGACCACAGCTGTAGCCATACCCATTACAGTGCAAATTCAGCAGCGTTCACACGAGAGCCTGTGAGACCTCAGGAGTGTCCTCACGCCAGGTTCTGTGAGTCCAGCAGTGGCAATGGCTTGGAGTTTCCATAGCCATCTTAGTAGCGCCATAAATGTGTACCTCAAACTGTGACCGCAAAGGAGGCCATACTGTAGTCTGGGTGACCTTGTGGGTGTCCACAGCTCAGTCTATGGTGCTTTGGGAGTGGTTTTGCCCCAGTCCAGCCACCTCAGGAGTAGCCCCACCCAAGTTTTTATGACACAAGTAATGTCCAGTTCCCAGCGTATGTGACCCTGGTGTTGTCCAAACCCCATAGTCTCTGGCTATTAGTGTGTCTATACTCATCTTGACGGCCTCAGGCAGGTGCACTCCCCCATCTGTATGACCAAAAGACTATCGACTCTCCTGTCATTGTGACCACGGAAGTGTAAAATTCCAGTGCCAGTGACTACTGGTGGGTCCACGTTCCAGTCTGGGTGACCCAGGGGAGGGCACAGTCCTGTCTGTGTGACCATAGGAGTCTTCACACCCCAGTATCTGTGACCACACAGGAGTCAATTTCCCAGTCAGTGTGACCAGAGGGATGTTCACACCAAATTGTGTGACCACAGGAGTATCCACACTTATCTGCACGTCCTGAGAGGTGTCTGTACTCCAGTGGGTGTGACACCAACAGTGTCCACAACACAGTCTGTGTGACTCCAGGAGTGTCCCTCCCCTCAGTCAGTGTGAGTCTAGAAGGATCTACACCAAGTCTTGGGGGCCCAGGAGTGTTCATTCCCCAATCTTTATGACTCGGGGCATTCACCACCCCCCCATCACGCAGATGAAGCATATCCACAGCTAGGTCTGTGTGACCCCAGCAGAGTCTGCTTCACAAGTCGTGTAACCACAGGAGTGTCCCCAGCCAAGCCTATGGGAATCCAGGAGTGTCCACATCACAGTCACTTGACCACAGTGGTGCCGACTTCCCAGTTTATGTATCCTCAGTCATGTCCTTGTTCCAGACTGTGTGACCCCAGTGTCCACACCCCAAACTCGGTGATCCAAGAGGTTACCCTAACTCCAGTCTGCGTGACTCCAGTGTTGCCCACACACCAATCTGTATGACCCTAAGAGAACACATCCCAGTCTGTGATGCTTCAGGAGTGGCCACACCCTACTCTCCGTGACCCCAGGAGTGGCTACACCACAATCAGCATGACCCCAGGATTTCTTACTCCAAAATCTAGTAACATCATGAGTGTCTACACCACCCTCACCTGTGTGATTCCAAGAGGATCCACACCCCAGGCTGTGTGACCTTGGGAAGGTCCCTATAGCAGTCAGTGTAAACCCAGGAGTGTGTTCTTCCCCGTCAGTGTGAGCCAGAAGGGCATATCTAGAGGAAGAGTGATCCAGGGAAAGGCGAAGGGCCGGCTGTGGTAGCTCACACCTGTAATCCCAACACTTTGGGAGGCCAAGGTGGGCAGATCACCTGAGGTCAGGAGTTTGAGACCAGCCTGGGCAACATGGTGAAACCCCATCTCTACTAAAAATACAAAAATTAGCCGGGCATGGTGGCGCATACCTGTAATCCCAGCTACTTGGGAAGCTGAGGCAGGTGAATCACTTGAACCTGGGAGTTGGAGGTTGCAGCGAGCTGAGATTGTGCCACTGCACTCCAGCCTGGATGATAGGCCAAGACTCTGTCTAAAAAAAAGAAAGAAAGGCAAAGGCCCTAAGGCAATGGCCCTGATGTGCCTGGCACATTTGAGGAACAGGCCAGCGGGGCAGGAGCAGAGTGAGCAAGGAGCCAGTGGCGGGCGGTGAGGTCAAGGGGGACCCGGAGGGCCTTGTGGGTCACGGAGAGGACTTTGGCTTTTTCTCTGAGAGAGATGAGAGCCACGGCAGGGCTCTGAGCAGAGGAGGGCCCTGAGCTGACTCGGGTTGCAACAGGATCCCTCTGGCTGCTGTGGTGTTGGCTACTCAACTGTCATTGTTTGTCAAAAGCCAGAGAACTGTATGCCAAAAGGGTGAACTTTATTGTATGTAAATTATAACTCTTTAAATTTAAGTTACAACTTTTGGAAAATGTGCAGTACTGGCCAGGCATGGTGGCTCATGCCTGTAATCCCAGCACTTTGGGAGGCTGAGGTGGGAGGATAGTTTTAGCCTGGGAGGTTGAGGCGGCAGTGAGCTGAGATCATGCCGCTGCACTCGCGCCTGGACAACAGAGCAAGATCCTGTCGCAAAGAAAAAACAAAAAACAAAACAAAACAAATAAAACGTGCAGTACTTTGCAAGCAATAAAGATTTCTATTTCTGCAAGAGAGTCTGTGCTCATGCCTGTCCTTACTCCTCTCCTTTCTGCACAGACGCATCTCAGGAATGCACCTGAGGAAAAGGCGGTACCGGGGCCTCCCTCAACTGCTCAAGGTAGCGCTCCCTTTGTTGTCTGCTGTGAACTGAATTGTGAATTCAGCAAATTCCTTTGTTGAAGCTTTAATCCCCAATGTGACTGTATTTGGAGATGAGGGTAATTAAGGTTAAATGAGGCCATAAGGGCAGGGTCCTAATCTGATAGAACTGGTGTCCTCATTAGAGAGGGAAGAGACGCCAAAGCTCCCTCCCTCTCTCCCTGTGGGCACGCAGAGGAAAAGCCACGTGAGGACAGAGAAAGAAGGTGGCTGCCTACAAGCTAGAAAGAGAAGCCTCACCAGAAACCAACCCTACCAGCACCTCGATCTTGAACTTCCAGCCTCCAAATCTGTGAGAAAATAAACGTCTGTGGTTTAAGCCACTCGGTCTGAGGTATTTTGTTAAGGCAGTCCAAGCAGCTAATTGCCTCTCAGCTTCAAGGCTGATTTCAGGAGACTCATGTTGGCCAGCTGTGAGGGGAGCCAGTGCTCAAGTGAAGGAAAATTCAGTACATCCTCCTCGTCTAGCTGAAGGGGGCTCTGGGGCAGCAGGAGGGGCCCAGGGCAAGCCTGGGATGAAATCCGTGGCACTCCTACAGGTTCTGGGGGTGGTGTCCATGGAATATCCTCCGCCACATTACAAAATGACTAACAATTGCTTGGGAAGCTTTCAGAACTGCCCCGAGGCTTCCTCTAACACTCCACCCACACCTGGCTCATGCCAGGTTGCTCCCCCTGCAGAACACGTATGCAGCTTTAGAGCCATCGATGCCTTGGTTCAGGAGAATAGGTGTGGTGTCATCTCAGGCTCGGTGGCAGCCCGAGGGAAGCGGCAAGTGTTCTGAGTCTCTCTAGATGACAAAGGAGCTGAGGAAAGCTGGAGTGAATTATGAGTCACAGCCTGTACCTCACAAGAAAGTTCTGCCCAATGCCAGAGCTGGGAGCCATCAGCAGTTATGCAGCGTTGGTGAA